ATATATAGTGAATATATAACTTCAAAATTAGATATATATAAAACACACTTAATATTTAATTTTTCTTACATAATTAATCTTATTAGAAAATAAATCTCAACTAATTTTGAAATTCTGAACATATATTACTTAATTTATTGTAATGTTTAAATTTTCTTTGGAAGCATAAAATCCAAATGTGTAAAGAATAAGATTATGTGCTTTCAAAAAATTACATGTCATATTTATTACAGACATATTTATTCTTTATTCAAGTATAACTATTTTTATATAGATATATTATTTGTTGTATTTTATTATAAATGTACTGAAAGACAAAATCAACGAAAATTTTTATTTAAAATTCTGTACATATATATTTTTAGCCATACTAATATCCATTATACGTCTATATATATTAGAAAATGTAAAGGTTCATATTTTTTTGATATATCAAATTAAAGTATATAAATTTAAAATATATATGTGGTACGTAATCATATGTATTTACACATTCACGAATATTTGTGTCTTTTTTATCTTCATTAAATATTTAAAAATCATTTATATAAAGAATATATGCAACGTTCTCTAACATAAATAACATATATATATTACTTTAAAAAAAATAATTTTATTGTTTTATGATATTAACAACATAAATATATTTACCATAGGGGCGCAACTTCATTAATTTATGGAAAGAATGCAATATTTAGTAATATAAAAACAACATTCTGCGAAGGTAAAAATTTTAAATGAATATATAAAGTACTCATGATGTTTATATAAAATATATATTTTTTAATCATTCTAAAATGAATCATCCAAGAATGGAAATTTCTCATACTATTCATAAAACTTCTAGAAATGTAGAATAAGTATATTATATAAACATGACATATTTATGGTGATACATAGGTTAAATTTCTAGGAATTATATATGCATACATGAATATTATGATAAAGATTTTAATAAATTTTTGAATTATTTATAGAAATATAAGATCCATTTTATTAATATAATCCATGTATTGTTCCTACATTTATTTTTTTTTTTTGTCACTAGCTATATTATGACTTTCATAAAAGCAGGAAAAAAGGTTATAAATTATTTCACCAAAAATTAATCAAAGCTTTTTATAACATTAATGAAAATTAGAAATATCTCTATTACATAAAATGATATACAAATTAAGGTATAATAATATATAAACATTTATTATTTCTGATCATAATTCATATAATATAATGGTTTATTCAAAAATGACATAGTAAGTGTTCAGTATGCATATTATATGTATCAGTGCATTAAATCTATTCGTTTCCATTATTATAATTCTTATACCATAATTATGTGTTTTATATATATGTACAAATCTGTATTTAACGAGCAAAATCACAGTTCCATATAATGAATTTTGTAATGTATTGTTTTCTTATTTCTGTTTTATCGTGTATAATCCAAAAGTAAATTACCTTGCAACAATTCCCATAGTTTTATTTTTACTTTTATGTTCTTTTAACTCGAATTACCTTTTAAATAATTTATATTACATATGAGTAAATAACTATTTTTTTATATTATATTTTACATTTTAATATATTCTATGCATTATATTTGTTATAATTTAATTTCATTTTATTATATTATACATTTATTTGATTATTTCATAACTTTCATATAATTTTAAAATGTGCCTTAATTAAAATCTACCTCATGCATAATATATTTCACTATCAGATTTATTTGTATCTATCTTACATTATTGAATTAATAGACTGAAAATAATTGTAAATATTTTCTAATGATTTCTTCTTTGTAGAAATATTTCATATACTCTCTTTATATGAAGACAGAAGTGTTAAATCATTTTAAATTCATAATCAGTTATGAATTGGTATTATATTTTTTCCAAATATTAAAATTATTTGAAACACATTAATTAGGTATTATAAACAAATATTTTTGGACAGTATAAGACACTTCCATTTAGTTTAAAAAAAGTATTAAAAAATAGATTTCTTAAGTATAAATCTCAATATTTTTCATTACATCATAGTTTTATACTTAATAAAATAACCCTGAACAAAAAATAAGATTAGTTAAAATTCAATCTGAATCCAAATATACTTATATTTACTAAAAAAAATACTTTATTTTAAAAAATTCTAAAACTATTTCATTGAATAGGTAAATCAACAAAAAAAAATCAATAAAATGCACGCATTTTTAAAGTTTTATCCTTAATGTCATACTGTAATTAAAATTGTAGCACAAATTGTTTATAATTATGAATTTCAAAAAACATAGTCTTAATGTTCTATAACAATTTAAAACAAAAAAAAATAATTAAATAAAAATTAAGAAAACAAAATATTAGTTAACATATACTTAACTCTTTAAAAAAAAAATGATTTTTCAATTTTTTAAAAATAACTATTGATAGATATGTTTAAAATTCAAAATAGCTATATGTAAACTAGGAACTTTTTTCTCTTACAACTGAGGCCCAAATAATACCCTCTTCTTTTTTCCATTCATTTGTTTTCGTTTTTTTTCCTTTTTCTTTGTAAAGAGTATTCCTAAAGGCGCATACTAAAAAGAATAAAAGAATTATAAAATTACAATTTAATGAGATGTAAATAACTAAAAATATAAGAATAATTTTTTTATCATATCATAATTTAGTTTATTTTTGTAAGTATTATCATTAACAAAATAATTGACAGGGGCACTAAAGCTATTATAATATATTTTTTATATG